TTAAGACCCCAGATGCTATATCATTTGATAGCCAGGTACCATCAGCTCTCTTCACCACTTTTGCTTATGCACCCACTTTGTCCTCAGCGATTGAGTCTGGACAGGCTGGTGTGTTTCTTCCATGTGGATTTTGTTGTCTCTCAGCTAGATGGCTGCTTGTTTATCTTCAGGTCTTTAAGACTCAAGGTGCTATATCTTTTGGTAGCTGAGCACTATCAGCTTTATTCACCACAATTGCTTGTGCACCCATTGTCTTCAGCAACTTCAGGTGCTATATCTTTTGGTAGCCAGGCACCATCAGCTTTCTTCACCACATTTGCGTAGAATTTAAAAAGAAAAAAAACCAAATGAAAATTGAAGTCAGTCACTGACAAGTTTATTCTGATTCTTGGTGCCTCCAAGTGTCCCAAGGGTAGAAGCAGATCCCTGGGCCTTTATTCTGCAGCACTTCTGAGAAGGTTCAAACGGCCAGTCTTTTGATTAGTAGTTGAGTGCTTAACCATTTGTGCTACCCAAGCAATTCTAAACTTAGAATACACACTTTACATTAGAATGTACATTTCTTAAAGAGAAAGTGACCTGAAGATTAGGGCTCTGGTTAATACTTCCTTAAAATGGATAATACAGATTATAGAGAATTCAGCTGAATGCAATGACTGCCAAAAAAAAAAAAAATCCAAACAATTTCATGTTTCTCTGCTATGGAATTGGGGCTGCTTAAGAAATTAGTTATGTTATTTACTATTGGTTACAGAAGGCATTAGAAGAAAATGCTTAAATATAGGTGTTGGAATTATTTTTGCCTTCAGTAATTTTTGCCAATAGTAATCTTTTCTTTAAGATATAAGCCTTCTTATTATAATTTTTAAAAATTATAAGCACAGATGTGTTAAGGCTTACAAGAGACATATATTGTGTTTCAAATATGATGCAATAAAGCCAAGTGGAATTTAAAATGTTTTAATACATTAATCATGTACATTCATTATTATTATTGTTATATAAAAATAACATTGAATGGGTGAAAATTATCACATTTAAAACCCATGTTGCTTTGAGAAAAATTATAAATAGTGTGGAAAATTGTCTTGAAATTTATGATTATATAGCACTGTTGATATTTACTGTTGAATTGGCCTCTGACTCATGGACATGCCATGTGTTACAGTAGGTCTGCTCCACGGGGTTTTGTGGACTGTAGTCTTTACAGTAGTCATTTGCCTGATCTGTATTTCATGGCGTTGCTGGGGACGGGGTTTAGGGCTTGGGACTCAAATTACTAAACTTTAGCAAAGTGTTTGTGTCACTAGACTCCTTGAACCATATAAAAATTATTCCATATTTCACAAACCCTTAAAAAGTACATAAAAACAAAATTGTCTTAAAACAATTGCTTTCAAACACGTTCTTCAAGTAGCTTAAATGCGAAAAAGAATTCCTGAAACGAGGAGAAATATTGGAGAGAGCTAATGTTATCTATCTTACCCTAGAACGAGTTTCTCATGCTCCAACTCTCAAGTGATAGAACACCGAATTTTCTTCTGATGCTACTCACCTATTAAAATTCTTCATTAAAAAATTCAGTTATAATTAACATATCATATCATCCAATTCAGTAGTTTAATCATATCAAGAAGGGCCGGGCAATCTTCATCCCAATGATGATTGGAACTTTGGAAATCTCGTCACCCTTCTTTTACACACTGATGTAGAGTCCCCATTTCCCCCTCCATCTGCCTCCATTTCTCCAGGTAATCATCAACCCTGTTACTATCTTTGATTTTCCTTCATCTAGTTTCCTACATAGATAAAATATACAAGACTAGGGCAGACATCAAGCAAGGATCTATCAATAATGACCATAAACAACCTACAGAGACTTCAATCTAATAAAAAGCAGAGAATATGAAAAATTTAGAATAAATTCACATTGGGTCCTAGTTAGATCAAATGAGAAAACTTTACATGTCCCAGTATGAGTTCACGTCCTAAAATTCCCTTTACAATGACCACAATTTGATTTTGGGGTTATTATCATTTCTACACAAGATATATTGGGGATTCAACAGCAGCTCATCCCTTGTAGTGACCCTGTAAATGGAGTCCTGATGGTGTAGTGGTTACATGTTGAGCTGCCTTCCACATGGTTGGCAGTTCAAAACCACCAGCAGCTCCTGGAGAAAGACTGAGCTTTCTACTTCCATTAATAGTTAGAGCCCTGGAAACCCACAGGGAGTCACTAAGAGCCAGTATTTTACTTGATGGCAGTGAGTTTGTTTGTTTTTTAAATCATTTTATTGAGGGCTCATACAACTCTTTTTTTTTTTTTTTTACATTTGTTGCCATCATCATTTTCAAAGCATTTTCTTTCTTTCTTTTAACATTTTATTAGGGGCTCATACAACTGTTATCCCAATCCATACACACATCAATTGTGTAAAGCGCATTTGTACATCGTTTCTCAAAACATTTTCTCTCCACCCAAACCCCCGACATTAGGTCCTCATTTTTCCCCTCCCTCCCCGCTCCCCCCTCCCTCATCAACCCTTGATAGTTTATAAATGGGTATTTTGTCATATCTTGCCCTGTCCGACGTCTCCCTTCACCCACTTTTCGGTTATCTGTCCCCCAGGGAGGAGGTCACACACAGTTCCATGTAATCGGTTCTTATCATAATCCACCCATCCATCCATTGTGTCAAGCACATTTGTACCTTTGTTTTGTTGCCATCATCATTCTCAAAACATTTGCTTGCTACTTGAGCCCTTGGTATCAGCTCCTCATTCCTCTCCTCCCCCCACTCACACCTCTGTTTTATCATCTTTAGTTTTCTACAATTTGGTTATTTAGGATTTGGGAATGAACACAGAACTCTTTTGATTTCCTGTTACTCAACTCATTTTTACTCTGTCCAGAAATTTTAGCACTATTATTTGTTTCTAATGGGGTCTATGTCAGAGCTCCCCTGTCTTCCTCCCCATGATCCCAAGTCTATGATTTTCTGAACCCTTCGACTCAACTCTCTTTTGGCGAATAGCTCTCAGTGTCATTCCACACACTTAATCTCAAAATTAGTTTAATACATGTTGACCTTACTTTGAGCAGGATTTAATCTGGACCACTGTTGAATTTCAGCTTCTAAGAATCTTTGTGCGATTTAAAAGAGTTTTTCTGAGTTATTTTTCAACATTCAAAACAGTGGGACATCAGGAAGATTTCAGTGTCAATTTGCTAGATATCCCGAAGAGATCTGTGCTTCTTTCCTTTCATCATGGAATCTGCTACCTGTGCCATTGCAAACACTTCCCCAAGGTTCTTTTCACAGCTCCCTTTACTTCTTTATTTTTCAAACTGTAGATGAGGGGATTCACAAGAGGAGTGACCACACCATACTGTATGGAGAAGATCAACTCCAGAGGGGAGCCTGATGTTGGCATCAGATAGCGAAGGAAAGCAGATCCATAGAAGAAGCTGACTGCAGTGAGGTGGGAGAAACAGGTAGAGAAGGCTTTGCTTCTGCCTGTAGTGGATCTGATGCTCAGGATGGTTGCGACAATACGGGTATATGAAAAGGTAATAAAAAATAAGGTACCAAAGCCATGCAAGAGTACAGAGAAGACCAGGACAGTGATGTTGATGGAGATATCAGAGCAGGACAAAGAGAAGAGAGAGGGCAGCTCACAGCTATAGTGGGGAATGGTATGGGCTGCACAGAAGTTCAAATTCACTGCTGGGGGAACATTGATAAGTGCATCCAGAAAACCCAGGCTCCATGATGTCCATACTAAATTCACACATTGCTGACTGCTCATCATCTGGCCATAGAGCAGAGGGTGGCAGATGGCAGCATAGCGATCATAGGCCATGGCACAGAGCAGAAAGATTTCTGTTCCTCCAACATAATACACAAAGAAGGCTTGAGTCAAGCATCCCTCTATTGAGATAATTTTCCTCTGAGATAAGAGGTTCTCCAGCAACTTGGGTACAGTGACTGAAGAAAAGCAAAGATCCAGGAAAGAGAGGTGGCTTAGGAAGAAGTACATGGGTGTGTGGAGGTGGGAATCAGCCCTGATCACCAGCAGCATCATTAAATTCCCTATCAGAGTCACGAGGTAAATCACCAGAAATAGGACAGAGAGCAGAGTCTGGATGTGAGGGTCGGCAGACAGCCCAAGGAGGATGAACTGGGTGATTGTGCTATGATTCCTCAAGGCCATTTAGAAATGATAGTCTCTGGAAAACAAAACAAAACAGACTTAAAATTTCTCTTGACTCTACCCATTACTATGGTACTGACTCCACTTTTATTTACACATAATGAATTTGTTTAGGTTTTATATATGTCTTTATTAACTAACTAGAACCCGTCCCTATCTACTATTGTGTTTTGAATTCACTGTGTTCATTCCATATAACCACATATGCATTCCATATACATCAAGATCTGATGAAGAAATTTATAAATTTGCACAATCTTTTCCCATGAAGATCTTATTTTGGCTCCTTCAACTGAGTACTGGTTTGTTAACAATACGTGCATGCTTTGTAGATGGTATAAGACTTGCTAGGGGGACATTTCAACACGTGTCTTCTGTCCCCTTGCCCAGTTTGTTTTCCCCCAATTTTAGAATCCACAGCACTACTTAATTATGTCATTTGTGCCTCCTTAGCTTTTATAATTGATGTGATGACTTACTATATATTTGTCATTTGGACTCTTAAGACCAATGAAAAGATGAGGATGTGTGCGTCTGTATGTGTGTGTGTGTGTGTGTGTGTGTGTGTCTGGAAGTTGCAGGCAGTGAGGAAGGACAACGGAGGATATTGTGGAGTAAATTTGTAAATTGAGCATAAAAAGTATGTAATGTTACTGATGGCAACATATGTTCAAATATACTTGATACAGTTGATGTATTGATGCGATAAGAACTGTAAGAGCCCATGATAAAATGATCTTAAAAAAAGTATGTAATGTGTCCAAGTCCCCCAAATGAATATTCATTATCTAATTAAGCTGTTTAGGATCCTAACATAGGGCCTTCTACTTAAGACTTGTCCTTCTAGTTCTCCACCACAGGTAGCACTTAGATAGTTTTACGTTTGGCTATCTGCCACTCTTTCATCTTCAGTGCTAAAAACCGACTACTCTAGAGGTAGCCTCAGGATTATGAATGACAGAGTCAGGGACAGCTCAATACTTGCCCTTTTGTTATATAAATTTGTCATACTTTTGTAAGACTGAACTAACCCACCAGCCCATTGTCCTCTTGGACAGGGTACCACCCTCCCACAGACACTCCAACGTTTAACCTTGTTTACAGACCAGATTGCCACGTCCTTCTCCTTCAGAGTGGCTGGTGGTTCCAACAGCAAATCTTCCAGTTAACAGCTGAGGGATGGACCACCACACCAGCAGGGCTCCCAACCCCTAAACACACCCGCTGCCACTGATTCAAATCTGGCTCGTAGTGACCCTGGAGGGCAGAGCAGAACCAGCTTTTTCTGAGGCGATAAGTCTTTGTCGGAGAAGACAGTCTCATCTTTCTCCAGTGAAGCGATTGGTGGGTTCAAATTGCTGACGTTGCACCAGCAGCCCAATGTCACCCTGGGCTTCTTAAACCAACCCTCATTTGCAACAAATTCTCCATCACATTCACCTTCCCTGGTTACATGTGTGCAACTTTTAAATCATTGGAAAAGCTTCCAGAATTTTCTTGCTAAATAAGATCACTTGTACCTGTTTCAACTTACCTATAATTCCCATTTACAGATATACTTAGGAATTGATCTCGTTCTCAACCAGGAAACATTGGGAGCACTTCATGGGAATATCTTTAAAGCTCTCTGCTTTTGTGTAAGCATCTTCTCTGTCTGAAATACTCTACCTTTCTCACCAATGCAAATTCTATTTGTTATCTGGCTCCCACCTTAATTCTGACCTCTTTGAAAATAATTTTAACAGTTTTATTGATATATAATTCACATGTCATATAATATAATCATTTAAACACATTAAAAAGAGTAGTGCAATCAATACCAGAACAATTTCTTCATTCTTGTGCTCATTATCATCGGTTCCCCCACAATCCCCCTAGCTAAGCTTTATGGACCTATTAATCCAGTTCTGTCTATAGGTTTACATGTCCTGGATTTCATATAAAGAAAAACAGGCACCCCCTCCCAAGCAAACAAGTAAACAAAAACAACACAACAAACACAGCAACAATTGCAAAATAAAGCAGAGGAAATCTCAATCCAAAGGAAATCAGAGAGTCACAAAAACCAGGACAAATTTAACATGAGTCAAAAAGGAGAAAAATAAGATGCTCAATTTTACCTGAGTTTCCATTAATCTATTTTTCAATGTACTCTGGTGGCAAGGCTAGTCATATCCCTGATCAATGGTCAGAAGGGATTCTCTGGACGCTTCATCCACGTGGGGACTCTACAGATGAACTTTTGGGCTTTCATTGACCTTCATAGCCTTCTGCAAATGGGGTGCTCAGAATTTAAGCTCTAATAGCATTCCTGGCTCTGGTCTTGGACTTCATTATTTACAATCCTTGGAACACACAGACAGGGGTGTTCTTCTGTGTGGACTTAGCTGAATGCATAAGACACATAATAATAAAGTAACCAGTGATTGAGCACAGTTGGATACTACAGCCTCATAAGTTCTACCTTTTCTGAAGGTCAAAGGTCTACTATATCTTAAAACTCAAGGCTCATTGCCATCGAGTCCATTATAAATCATAGAGACCCTGTAGGACAGAATCCATCTGTCCTTGTGGGTTCCTAAGAATGTACATCTTTACAGGAGAAAAAGCCTCATCTTTCTTCTGCGCAGCAGCTGGTGGGTTAGAACTGCCGACCTTGGTGGTTAGCATAGCAGCACTATGCTACTCTCTTGAAAACTTGAAATTTTCTTATTTAACTTTAAAAGATTATGATAGGTTGTTAAATTCTAGCTTTCCAAATATGTAACTAGAAGAATGGAGCCACCTTGCCTTAATCAAGTGAATGAGTGACTATACCACATTTTCACCCATGTCTGCATCACTACATAGCCAGTGTTCTGTGATTTGGGCCTTCTGCACCCTCTTTTTCCTGCCCTAAGGACAACACTAACTCTTTGTGTGAACGATGGAGAGGTACCATTTCGGGGGTGGGTGGGTGGAGGTTCTTAAATGAAAAGTTTACCATTCATTAATAAGGGGTATGAGTCATGAATAACTTTGAGATTCTTCTCAGTTTTTGCAGAGACCAACCTCTTTCCCCAAAGCAACCCAGGACTGAGCACAGTTGGATGCAACAGATCGGTCATTTTTGCCTTTTCTAAAGGTCACTGTTTGATCCAGCACCTGAGTGGGTTGGGTGGTGAATGTTTATGGATCTCCTTTGTAGGTGGGGATGCTCCCTAATCAATTCTGCCTCCTTCCCGCTTCCTTTCACAGCTCTGTATCTGAACATGGTCTGAGAGTCTTTTCTGCCCACATACGGTTCCGTCTTCTTTTGTTTCACAGATCTTTCTCAACAGCCTCTAACAACAGTCCCCACCTCCTCAATCTCCAACCTGTATCTCAGCATCTTCTCCTGTGGTATGCTCCCACATTCCCCCAAATTAATTCCCTCACTGTAAATCGCTCTTCGTTTTAGGTCAGCACTGAATGGCGATTTTGTCTTGGCAGTTGTAGTGAGGGTATTCAGGACACGTTTCTTTCTGTTTCCTCCTCAAACAACATCAGTGAAATTCCATAGGGGGATGATTATTTTCTAGATTACTTCGGAGCGCCATAACCCTTGGCCCAGGGAGGTGCTCATATGGTAGTCCTGCCTCTATTATTATTCATTGGTTGCAGTTCAGGGTCTTCACACAGTGGAAAGTAGAACTTTCCTAGGAAGGATTATGGTGAGCCTAAATGGCCTAGAAGGAAAAACAAAACAACAGCAACAAAACAAGGACCAATACTTTATACTGGAAGATCTCTTAGTGTTGCCAGCCCCCTAAATAACCTATCAAATGATACCAAATAACTTATAGAGCCTGATATAACACAAGCAAACATGCACTGTCCAAAGCCAAGTTCAAAGTTATGTCAGCTTGGTCCTGAGATAGGCTGCAGTTGGAAGATGATTGTTGATAACACTCTCGCTGTTTGGGAGTGCTGGTGTGTACTGCGTCTTTAACAACTTGCTGTAAAACAGATGCTGAATGTTACTTTTACATTTTCGTAAATGCGAAAACCCTAAAATTCTTTTTGTATTTCTTTTAGTTATTGAAAACAAGTACTAATGTGGTCTTTCATAAAAGCAAAGTGGCATAAAGGGAATTTTCAAAGCCATTTGAAACAAAACCCACTGTCATGACTCCATTCATATTCTTGGAAACCCTATATGGAGTTTCTTTACAGAAGTAGACAGCCTCTTTTAATCTCCTGAGGAACAGCTAGTGGGGTTGAACCAATGTCTTTGCAGTTAGAAGTCCAGCGCTTACCCAACAGCACCACCAGGATTCTTTGAGCTGGTTACTGACTTATTAAGTCAACAATTAAGAGTGAAAAATTCTATACCAGAGTCACCCATCCCTCAATCAGAGGAAGCATCCCACAACTATTAACCATTTCATACCATATCAGAAAGTAGATGAACACGTATGACAGTCATTTGTTAATTTGTTCATTTTCTGCACTTTAATTCATTTACTCATTCTAGAGCACAACTTTTCTATTTATGCATCCTTTTACATATTGGCATAGTCTTTGATCACTCTTTCCTTTATAATATACCCATCATACTACTCATTCACTCATGGATTCCCTGTTATATGTCCAGTTGTGCTGGACACAGAATGACATTGCATATACCCACTATGGTGAACTGCTTCATCCATGCACCTTTCGTTGGCCTAGACTGAGTCGCTCTCACCTGCTACTAGGGATGAATTAGCTTTCTAGAATTTTTCTTTCTTTATGGCTTGAACCCCTAATTGGGAGGTGTAAAGTCATATTGGGCTTTATCATAATGCCTCATACCTGGGTTGGTATCATGTTCTGATACCAAGTATCCTGACCAATCTGTGTAACCTCTAAATCTGCCTTGCTTTCTCTAACTTTGTCTTAATAAACGGAGTCTGACATTGTGATTGCCCAACAGACTGAAAATACCAAGTTTATTTTTCTTTCTTTCATTTTTTTAAAAACCAGTCTCATTCACATAG